AGAGAGAGAGAGAGAGAGAGAGAGAGAGAGAGAGAGAGAGAGAGAGAGAGAGCTAAATGTAGAAGAACTGAACTTCACTGTTTTATGAAAGGAACATTTCACATATATATATAGGTAGTGAACATCTTACTTCATTGGAAAACTCCAATTGAGAATATGAGCTCATTCAAAAGATTAGAGGACATTGGATTCCCACAAGAAGCATGTATCACGAAGGAACCATTTGCTGATCTTTATTACGATGGTTTCCGTGAAGAATGTTGAGTGACCACTAATTTATTTGGACTAATTAGAGGGAGGCGAGAAGTTACAATTTGCTAAAGCTTTTGAAATGAAGTTTACAAAAGAACAAGTATTAAGTCCTGTGTGTGCAAAATTCACATTGATGGAAATGTAATGCTCATGCTAAGAAATACAATAAATGCAGTACTTATCAATTGCAGAAAGGCTATCATAAGTAAAGAGATTGATGCACAACATAGCATGACTACCTTCAATATGAAAGATGGATTTTTGCCCAAGACGCATCCTGTGTTCCTGTGGAGATCGTTGTTAAAAGTGGTCAGTGAAATGATGGCTTTCATGGCTAAACAAGATGGATGTTTTATTATATTAAATTAATTTTTTTGAAAATGTTTATTACAAAAATTAATTACGAAAACTGAAAACCTAAATGTGCATTGTGAACAAAGAGGCCCAGGGAGAGAACTTGAATATGGAAAAGGTCTAGTTACATAGAAACAATAACATCTGGGAAGCTGCCATATCTTTTTTTATAAAAAAATTGATCTCTTTTTTGGTCGGACTCTTTTAAACTTTTTTTCATCTGATGTCATATCAAAATTATGAAATTTGCAACAAAAAAAAAAGATGTAGAAGAAATTTATCTAAAGAAAGGGATTTACTAGGTCATTCCAAATACTAACATGAATTCAAATCTGTGGATGGCCAATACAAAATTTAACTGTAACCTAAATTTACAAAAGCATTTCTTGGCAATAGATTGTTATGGTTGGAAGCTGTATGCATAAACCTCAGAAAGAGTCCACAAAAAACATTCAAAAATATCATAAACAACATTAAAACTGTAAAATTAGAAGGTTATTAGAAGTGAACTAGATGGTAAAATGTCTGCCAAATTTGATATTTACTCAATCCTTTAAGGATAACAAATGACTTACATAGTATGCAGCCCAATGGGAAACTTCGTGCTTCAATTCTGAATCCAACTTCTTCATCAATTCTGACACCAATTTCTGTATAGAGCAGCCCATAATTTTAGAACAATAAAATAGATTTAATGAGATGTTCCAATGGAAAAAAAAAGGAGAGGAGGGGGGCGGCTTTTCTTTAGTACCTTCAGAATGACTTCCGGTGGAATACAATTTACTAGCAGCTCATAAATTTTCAACCTAACTGAATACAGTCTGCACACAAAGGACATCCACAATGACAGTTGGATAAATGGAGGTATCCACTCTTACAGAAGGCTAGCAGCATTCAATAGAATTTAATGATATAGTCCTACTTCCACCAACAAGTAGAGCATACCATGATCGTGATTATGATGTGGAATCATCTAAAAGTTCCTTTTTTTGTTACGAATTTGCATGCAAATATTGCCTCGATTAAGTGAAGTTCAGAATATGCAAACCGCAAGAAAACAAAGGAAAAATATGCATCTGGTCCCCTTTAAAGTAGAGAAAAGAACAACTTTCAAGGGATAAGAATCAATGATACTCAGCATTTCAAATAAAATAATCCATCCCAGTTAACAACTGCCAGAAAGTCCTCAACGCACACCTAATGTGAATGACTACAGGTTCATCCCAAGATGTTCGAATAAAAAGTAAGGATGCTCATCTGCAAACAGAAAAAGAAAAAGATTTTCATTTGAGTTTTGCTAGCTCATCACCTGTCAAAAATTATGTTTTCCATGTCATAGATAAATAGTGCATTTTCTCTGACTAGAACATGTTTTAGTTATACTGCATTTTTTTAGGTTGTATGAAGGTAATTGTTATTGTGTAACTGGACAATAGTTGTATTTAATTGTCCAGGTAGATAAGCCAAAATACCCATCTACTCAAGTGTACAAGTCAATACAGGAATGCAATACAATTATCTTGTACATTGCTTAATGGACATTATACTTCTTTATGGTTCTTACATCTTCTATCTAGCTCATTCATTTTGCTCAATGAAAGGTACTTAACGGATGCACTTCTTAGACAAAAGTATCATTACCTAGCATCATGAATGGAAACAGTATTCCAATAAAGTCCAGTCATGGTGACTCGCCTTAATTCTTTAAGTGAAACCAAGAAATCTAAATTTCCTACTAGAACATTGGGTTATCCTTTTGTGCATTATCATAAAAGGTAAAAGGTTATGATTCAGCACATGACATTGTTAGAATGCACAAGGTCCCGTGTTAGCAACATGACAAAAGTATCACTACCTAGCATCATGAATGGAAACAGTATTTCAATAGGAGTCAAGTCGTGGTGAATCGCCTTAATGCTTCAAGTACAACCAAGAAATCTAAATTTACTACTAGAATATTGGGTTATCCTTTCGAGCATTATAATAAAGGGAAAACGACCTCTACCCCCCTCTCCAAAATTTCCATCCCTAGAAGCCCCTTGGGTTCACCAAAATCCCTTGTACCCCCTCAATTTTAAAATTTTAGGACCGTTAGCCCCCTAATTATGCTTTTCTTTGTTCTTTTTACAAATTTGATATTTTTATTTTACAAAATGCCAAACCCTCCATTAGTGAGCTTCCTTTCCTTTCTCTTCCATTGCCTAAAATCAATCTTACCTTTGTAGACCCCACTCCATAAATTTAGACATGAAAAGAAAATGAATTTTTTTATTTATTATTATGACCTATTTTACAATTGCATCAATATCTTTTAAACATGAAAAATGATTAATCACGATATTTATTACTATTGTTAATGAATTATTACTATTTATTTATTCATTTAATTAAAGAAATTTCTCAAAATACCAATAAGAGATGAATTATTTAACAATTCATATATTATTGTTCTTGTTGTTATTGTTATTATTATAATTATTATTAATTGTAATTGTTATTATTATTATTATTATCATCATCATCAATAAAATTTGTTATATCAAGTAGCAAAAAAAAAAAAAAAAAAAAAAAAGGAATGACTAATGCATGGGTTTGGCATTTTGTTGTCAAATTTATAAAAAGAACAAATAAAAACATAATTAGGAGGTTAATGGTTCCAAAGTTTTAAACTTGAGGGGTACAAGAGATTTTGGTGATCCCAAGGGGCTAATAGGGATGGAAATTTCGGGGAGGGGGTTAGAGGTCATTTTCCCTATAATAAAAGGTAAAAGGTTACGATTCAGCACATGACATTCTTAGAATGCACAAGATCCCGTGCTAGCAACACAAACGCCAAACGGTAATAGCAGCTTATATTCTTGACAATAACCATTATCCAAGAGTAGTGCGAAGATGCCAACTACATCTAATTAATACAAATTGGAACCTTGCTAAATAATTGGTTTATATGAACATCTTAGCATACCTTTTAGGGCTTTGCTCATTCACTATATCTGATACTATCTCAGCAACGTATTGCTCCCAATCCATAGTTTGAACAACCTGATTCTCAGTAAAAGGATACCTGAAACCAAATCAATGATACAATTTGAGTAATGAAAGAACGTGTCACTGAACTTCCTGTGATGAAACAACAGTAACACAACTCAAAAATTCAATTCAATTAACAAGAGAGAATTGAAAATTTTGAGTCTAAGACGTTTTAACTGTTGCACCCGGCAAGCTTCGAAAGAGAGTATTGCCCTTCTTAAATTCCTGTTTGACTGAACTGCTATACGAGTTGCCAATCCAATGGGAAGTTCAAGGTGTTCCTTCTTAGCTATGTGCCTCAATACACCAACAATCTAAATTGATGCAACAAAATATAAGAACTATGAAGCATAACCACTTCTTCATATCAAAAAAAGTGCCAGGCATACATCATTTTTTATGAACCATAAAATATAAATGGATACTGAGACCTGTTCATTAGTTGGTGCATTAATTCTAATATTCAAACACCGCGAACGAACTGCTTCAATTACTCTCGATGCACTGTTGCAACACAATATCAGTCGGCATGATGCACTGTATTTCTCCATTGTCCTTCGAAGAGAATGTTGTGCTTCTTTAGAAAGCTTGTCAACCTCATTGAGCACTAGAACTGCCATCAAAAGTAAAATTTCATTATGAAGGAGCGCGAAGTCAGGTCATTATAGCATCAGCAAAATAAGCCTGGAAATGAACAATTACATAAGAAATGCAAAAACAGAAGAAAATTTGACTTTTTTCTTATACTGCAATAAACATATATACAAGTTAATGTTTTTTAGATATTCACAGCACACAAAATTCATATGAACATTAATTGAAAGTTTGCTACTTTGTATTAAGACTCATAGATCCTGATTAAATATAAAGGAAACGGAGAAGTAATTCATTTTTAAGATAAGTAACTTTATTTACATTGATTGAAAATGTTCTACAAGTCAACATAAGCATTCTCTTGTATATGACTTGTCATGTATCAAGAAGAATAATTTCAAAGGAGGCTATTGTTGACACATTAAAAAAAAATAATAATCAAGGAAGGCCTCTTGCATTCCTATTATGAGGAAATCGACAATCTGGGTTCGCCTTCCCCATAAATGGAGGAAGGAAGCCTCCAAGTCGCTAATTCAGTTAAAGTTTCTTGTGAACACATGATGCAGCATCAATGGTGTCTCCTTCTTTCAGGTAGCTCAAGCAATAGCAGAATCCCCATCAATTATATCCTTTTTCTATTCAAATTCAATAGACTTGATTCTCCACTGCATTATTTGGTCCTGGACTTAGAAAGGCATAGCTGTTAAGGACGTTGAAGATAGCAAGGAAGAAGACTTGGTATCAATTTTTCAAGGCACATATCAATCCTTTTCTAGATACCTTCTCCATACCACGCAGGCTATTGGAGCAGCAAAGAAGTAGGAGATCGTGGTGCTAACAAATAATTAATCTTAGCCCACTTCAAACTTGAGGATGAGTTTTCTCCAAATAGGGGAGTCTAATGCAAAACATGAAACCTCTCTTATGTACTCTCCTTTTCATCAATTTAAGGTTAACATCTTCAAAAAAAAAAAGCAAAACATGAAACCTCTTATTTTTAATTTTTCTATTAAATATTAGGGATGCATTTTTGGGATTTTTAGGGCTTTTAAAATTTTGTAGGGATTTTAGAGTTTCTTTCTTCTTCTTCTTCTTCTTTTTTTTTTTTTTCTACTTTGAAAAAGTAGTTAGAATCATTATGAAATTATTTATTTTGTCAAGCGTAGAAATGACATTATATATTTTTTTTATTAGAACTTCTACTTCAATTAGAATTAGGATTCCTTGGGTTATATAGGTAAGGCCCTTTATTATAAGGAAAAGTATACCGAGAGACTATTTCTAAATTTTGGTCTATAAAAGGTGATGACCTTAAATTTTCCCTTTACCCATCCCAAGCCCGGGTATAGGAGATGTGTTGTGCTAGTTAGGCAGCCAGCGTAAAACTTTGCCACATCTTATCATGAACCCCGAACCTAAAGGAAAATGGAGGAATATGATTCATGTAGCCAACCCCAATTAATTGGGGTAAGGCTTGGATGATGATGATAATGATCAACCAATCTTGTCCGTCAGATTTTAAATCAAGTGATTGTAAGTGTGTCATTGACCAGACTCAAATTCCATTAAAAAAATTTGCACTTTGTGATATCAAAGGGCTAGGAGCGATTGTGACCTCCTTGTAACAATGATAAATGGTCTTATAGCATACAATCCCTTATTATAAATAGGTGTTGTGTTAGGGTGTTAAACTTTCAGAGTTGAATATTATGTGTTTTGAGCATCTTGGTTAAACTAGAGAGCTCAGAAACTTGGCTTGTAAGCTTCCATCATTATTATCAAACAAATTTTAAGCTCTTTAATTTCTTTATGTAAAGTCTCCACTACATTACTTGAGGCCGACAAGATGAGCTCTCACCTCAATCTCATATGAGTCACACCTTGGAGGGGGCCTGAGAAGGACACATGGGCCTGCCTTATGATCTCTCAACAGTCCCCCAGGTCTAGCAGGACTGGATTTCCATCAAAGTTCAACTAACACTACCTTCTGTGGAGGCTCCCAAGTCTAGATTCTTCTGCTTCTTGGTAAAGAAAATCCTTTTACTTTCCTCTTTGTCATTGTTTCATGATGGTCTTATTTCATGTTTTTCATTTTAGTTTGTGAGCATTTCGGGCTTTGCTGGTTGAGAGAATCCCTAGGTTTTTCAGCCGACCAAAATGTTCTGAAATTGCAATAAATCACTAGTCATTCTGGAAACTGCAGAAAAATTTGCTGCTCTTCAATATAGAGTATTGGGTCAAGTTACGAACAATTAACCAAGGAATACTTCACATAATATGGGGTACCTACCAAACAGCCAAAAAAGCAAATACCATTCTGAATATATTAATTTTTGACAAAACAGTCAGTTCCTGATAAAATTAATGATCATCCCAAACAGGGCCTCAATATAGCATTCACTTCAACAAGTTACATGCAATGTAAAATTAAATCTTAAATATTAATCTTGAAATGACAACCTAGTAATTTGATTCTAAAGTATAGTAAAACTAAATCTTAAATATAAATAAAAATGGTGAAACAAGATTCGTGTAGCCCACCCCAAGTTGGGATAAGCCTTAGATGATGATGAAGATGAAGATGAAGAATAATATATTTACAGAAGTTTTTGAGCGCATAGGTATTTGATATGTAGCCATTTGAGGGTACCAAACATAACCTTTCAGCAAATTTAAAGGAAATATTATGGGCACTTAGGTTCAACCCCTAAGTTTTAGGGTTCCAAAAACGTTTCTATTAATTGGAACCTAAATCGCATTACATTGGCCTAACAAAAGGGTTTTCCAAAATCAAGCAACCAAAAAAGGGGACTGAAACTGAAAGACCAATTGACAACAACAAACAGTGAATCAATACACAGTTAGATGCCCACAAAGTTTCACACTCAAAGTGATTCACTTAAGTCCAACATGCATAGATTGCCTCCATTCCCTAACCTTATAAGATGGACCAAGATTAATGAACTTTTTGGATTCCTTAGTTCTTGTTTATAAGATTTTAAAGTAGCTCAAAACTGATCCCATGAAAAGTTCATCTTCACCATAAGACAGAATGTTTTGCCATGCATTATACACAATGTTTTAAAAAACGGCCCACCTGGCGCCTACCTAGGCGTCCTGGACCAAAAATCTGCCCGCCTAGACCCAGGCGGCCCTACACGGGCAGATGTACCTAGGCGGGTGCCCAGGGCGCGCCTAGGGTGGATATACTTGGGCGGGTGCCTAGGTGGCACCTAGGCAGGCTATGGGGGTGCCCAGGCGAGGGCGCCCAAGGTGGATGTACCTGAGCGGGTGCCCAGGCGAGCGCCTAGGCAGGCGCCCAGGGTGGATGTACCTGGGCAGGTGCCTTAGCAGCATAGGCAACACCCAAGCGGGTGCATAGGCGATGCCCAGGCGGGCACATGAGCGAATGCTCAGGGTGGATGTACCTGGGCGGGGGTTGATGTACCTAGCTGGGCGCCCAGGGCCGTAAGGCATTTCTCGTTTTTTTAAAACTACGGGGCGCCCGAGGTTCTGGCCGCCTGCCTAGGCGCTCGGCGCCAAGTAGGCTGCCTAGGGGCCACCTAGCGTTTTTTGAAACCTTGATTCTACAATCACTCATCAGAGGATCTAAGCTATATGAGTGCATAATGTAAATATAGTTGATACCTTTGTAACTTTTGTTTCCATTCACATCAATAGGCCTACTCTTGGCCATCTCTTTGATAATCTCCTGAACAATATACCTATCCTGAAAGCCGGCATCACTAGGATTCAGCTCAACATGGTGAGTGCTTGATAATGTGGTCAATTCAAGCTCGATCTTTCTAGTTCCAGTCTGCGTAACAAAGCAATCGAGATCATGACCTTGTCTTAGACCTAGTAAAAGGTCTAGGAAGTTTCTACTAAAGAAATCATATCCATAGTTACTTTTGAAAAAATTGGAAATAGACTCGATCTATCTCTACTCTCTAGATATCAAACTTTCCAAATTCCCTGAGCTTTGCATGTTCTTTTTTCCTAATAATGCACTTTTTTTTTAATAATGCTAACCTTCTTCTTCCTATTGCAATTATATTAGTACATTGGAAAAAAATTCCATTAGTTATGAAAGGTGAAGAGTTTTATTTTAATGAAAAAGTTACCACTGCTTCCTTTAGATACAAGATGAAACTCGTAAAGAAACAAAAGTTCTCCACTGCACAATTTCAAAGCTACCGAAAACTACAAATCTATCTAACAACAATAATTCATAAGCTGGATAACATCACAGGAAATAGAATAGACCATTACCTCTATCTTCCATGTTTTGTTCTCAATTTTCACCTATCATCACCAGAAATTTAAAACCTCCATGTGAGAGACAGAGAAGAGAGAAAGCAATAAATTCCACCCCAAAACCAAATCCAGATATCCTAGAGTACCGTACTGATAAAGGCAGTCACGAGTTACCTTCTCAGCTGCAGATCCAAACATTTCCCTGAGAAGAGCCATGATGAGGGTTTTCTTTCCAGAGCCAGATGGACCATAAAACAGGAGATGAGGACAATCATGCTCGGAAACCTCAATAAAGAAAAAAAAAAAGAAGAAAAAAAAAAAAGTTAGCAAGAAAAAAATTTGTAACATAGCTTGTACAAGCCACAAGAATATAAAATCGGAGACAAATAATATTAGCATTGGACGCAAACAGTAGATCAAAAAAGAACAAATTCTTGAAGTCAAACATAAAAAATAACGGACAGGACACGCTAGAGTAAGATGAGAAGTGTAATGAAAGATTACATTTATTTTTTGTTTTCTTCTTTGTTAAGGTACACTAATGTAACAATTAGAAATTTAGATTGGATAATGTGAAAGACTGAACAATAGAGATTGAGAAAAGAAACACTTCTTCAACCGAGGAAATCCTTAAAATAAGAAAAAATCAAGGAACATTGGCAATCATTACAAAGCACAACAAATTCAAATACAAGAAGTCAACAAACCATGGAATAGATGGAGAAAATCAATTTCAAAAAAACATTTACACAAAAGAAATAAATAAGCTGGGTACAATTAATGTAAGACATATGAGCCGAATGGGAAGAGATACAGAGAGAGAGAGAGACGTAAATTAAAAACAACCAGTAGTGGTCATACCAAAAGAAAATAAAGCAGAAAGAAATGTTACTGGAAAGAATAAAGAAAAACTCCATACTAAGAGAAAATCATGGATGGAAGGAAACAATTATTGCAAAACCTGGGGAAAGAACAGGAGACCCTACAATAAAACAAGATGAAAACCCTATACAAAGAGGGAAACCACTTCTCAGACAGAGAAATTTCTGGAAAATGTGTTGGCAAAACATTACAAATACACTGCACATAGGAGAGAGAAACTTATTAAAGTTTCAGAAGAAACTCTAGAGTAAAAGACGAGACATATACACAAAATAAGCAATAGATAACATACAAAAATACTGTAAAATAGGAGAGACAGAAAGAGAAATAGAGAGAATGGCTGTAAAAGCGGATGCAGAAACAGTGTAAGCTTCTAAGAAGCCAAAGCATATGGAAGTCATCTCGAATAAACTAGAAGGACTATTGTCAATTAGGACCGAGGAGACAGAAGCAAAATAGGATCAGAAACAGTGCTAGTTCCCAAAAAACCCTAGAATAAGAGAACCACCACTGTTTAAACATGAATATTTCTCTAAATCGGATGAGGATAAAAAGTCGAATTGCTACAAAGGAGGATACCGCTGGTTTCCCAAAAAAATCCCTAGAATAAGAGAACCATCGCAGTTTGAACATTTCTCTAAATCGAATGAGGATAAAAAATAGAATTGCTACAAAGGAGGACACTGCTGGTTTCTCAAAAAAATCCCTTGATTAAGAGAACTATCGCAGATCAAACACAGCAATTTCTCCAAAGTTAGAGAGAGTTAGGCATAGAATCAACAAACACCATAAATTTTTGAGAAAAACAAATAATTGCAGTAGAGAGAGAGAGAGAGAGTACAAGTTTCTTTAGGTTTTCGGCGATGTCGTCATGGACAGCAATCTGGTCTAGGGTTTTTGGCCTGTACTTATCAACCCACAACATTTTCACAGCTTTGTTGTGCTCTTGGCCTCTCTCTGCTTCTGATTTCAGTGCAAAAAGGGCGGCTCTCTATGTGAGAGGGCTCTGTCTCTCTCTATTAGTTCAATGCAAAAATGGCGGGAACGGGAAGACGGAAAAGCTTATATGGAAAACCATCCTCCGACCCTAGAGAATGAGAAGCCGAATATTCGGTAACCGAAATACTTAATTATTTTGCTTCCCTCGACGTTTTCGGTGACCGGATATTCGTCCCAAAATTCCGAAATTTCGGATCACTTGCCATGTTTTCCTACGTCCAAAGAGCGCGTGTCAATGGTTTTTTGAGTTGCACAATCCTAACGATTAAAGTTGACTTCATATAATTTCTTTTCATATATAAATTAAGGAAAAAGTTTAAAGAAGCTTGAGGCTCTAAACAATCAAAATTTGGGCGCACGTCAATTTTTGCTAAAAGAGGTTGTTTTGATGCTAAAAAATCTTCAAATTAACTATCACGACCTCAAATGTATAGACATAAGAAAAAAATGGATTTCAAATTTTTGAAATAGTGCACCTTGTGATTCATTTTAGACCGTGAACTTTTAAGATTTTCAAGTTTTTATAGATCTACTCGATCTACACTATTTTTTAAGCTTAAAATTTTAAGGCTGTCACAATTATTATCAATATTGAAACCGCATTTCTCGACATTATTTGAAGCTACACTTTCTTTGATTGTTTAGATATCCACCTTATACAAACCGCACCCACAAATTAATGAGGTATTGGATCCAATTTATCGAGTTACTTTGCCTCGTCGTCTCTTCAATTTAAGGATGAACATCGGTGCCTTAATTTTTTTTTAACGTCGAACTTATTTTCTTTTATCAAAATAATAATTTTGGCAGACCTATTATTTTCTGAACAAAATTCTTATTTCAAAATTATTAGGAAAAAATTCTAACCAAGATAAAGCATAGGAGCATAAATAATCAAATTTACAAGACTAATGATGCAATTAAGGCTCTGTTAAAACATAGTAAAGCCTCACTTCCAATCCTCCTCTGGGAAGTACTTTGCGCATTGGAAATATCCTGATGACTCTATAATCAATTTCTAGCACTGACTATGAAACTTGAAGCTAACAAATCTTACATATCTTATAGATCCATGAACACTTATTTTTAGAGTGAAGTAGACGGTCTAAATAATAAAATACAATATAACTACTTTTAAGATTTGAAATCTTAATTCTTTTCACAACCATACCAATCAAGGCCAAGATGATCGATTTAAAGTTACTTTATATCGGAATTATAATTTTTTGTGAGTTTTAAAGTGACGCTTTATTTATTTTGATAGAAGTGCAATTCTATCAAACTATTTTCCTTTTTTAATTGAAAAAATTATGTTACTTCTTCATTTTTCAAGAGTAATAGACTCAACTAGATCGGAACTTGAAAAGCTCACTCAAAACTCATGGAATTGACTCTCTCCGGCCCATAACAAGTACATGAACAATCACAAGTAATAAAAAGCTAGCCATGAAAAACATGATGCGAAATTATGTAAGACCTATTTCAAGTCCTAAAGACTGCATCTTGAACATATTATTTAGACCATCCATGTATTTAGAAATCTAATCAATTTGCATTATTATGAGTTTTGAATTTGGCAGTAGAAATAGATTTTCAAGTCATCATAGGGCTTTTCACACCAAACCTGCATCTTATGACAAGGTTTAGAAGTACTCTTATGTTGGTCATTTGAAGTTGATAACTTGTAAAACAACCCTTCACATTACTGCCAGATACGAGTCTAGACTCTTTTTTCTGCCTTGTTCACAAACTCATTCTTTTGAGAAATCTATCAAATACACGTACCTCCTCTATTATTTAATATTTTATTCCTTTCAAATATTCCAACTATTATAATGTGTCTTTTGATAGAATTTTTGAAATTAAATCAAAAGAAATAAAAAATATTAAACATACATTTTGATAATATATTGTATACTATGAGTCCATTTAATTTTTTTACAAAGTCTAAATAATTTTTAGTCCTTGAATGCGAAATCCAATACATGAAATGTTTTACAACTTTCAAAAACATTTCTTTTGAACTTTATGCCTAAACAATGATGAATAAATGATTGTGATCTCCTTATATCGAAAATATACTTTTCCTTTTGAAAAACCTACCTATCTTTTTAAATACTTTGCAAATAGAGCGTACTATGTTCACCATGCAATAACTTCGGATTGCATGAGAACATGGTAAAAAAATCATGCTCACTTCATCACCATCCGATCCGTGGGTAAGATGGCCATGAAGAGAGAATGGTACACAGGAATCAGGCCTCAACTCGCTATAGATATATTCCGATTTTTCCAGTAAAACTTGGGAGGTTTTTCATTCTCTCTCTCTCACACACTCAAACTAAAACAAATGTAAGAGAAACCTAAGCATATGCTATTCGTGATATAACCATCTAAAATCTCTCTGTAAACCCCAGGAGGCAAGAGAGTTCCCTTCGACACAATAGTTATATCCTTGCCCTAGCTTAAATAGCATCACTCTTCAAACCTTGCATGAAAGACTCTTTGAGTAATTTAATCTTCAAATTTCAGCTAAACAAACATAAGCGCTATCAAATATATTTTTAATGGCAGAAACTCACAGATTAATAGAACAAACTGAAATAAGACTTGCAGGAAGAATCTTGCTGAAACTTCAGTAAAAATTAGAGTAATTGCAGCCCAATTTAGGATCAATTAACAGCACGACTACTTGGGTTCAGCAGATATATGTACACAAGTCATTACCAAATTATTTCCCAAAAATTACAGCAAAATTAAAATATCAGATTATCAATGGATCACTCTACAAGATTCTAATAATTCCCGAATGAACAATGTATTAAAAAATCCAAAATACAGTATGTAGAACTATGTAAACCATATTAGTTAGTAAATAGACGATTCTGATTATGAAGAAGCAAAAGCCATTAAAATTGTTTTTGTTCAAGTATCCAAAGCAGGATCAGTTAAGCCAACAACCCCGCATAGGGAAACCATATACATCCTCCCACCCACTCATAAAGCCCTCTCCGATGCCCTTAGCATTTGCCCGGGGCTGGCCAATCGTAAAATAGGACCTGTATAACTTACTGGGCTTGGAGTTCCAATAGATATAATTGAAAGGTAAGCCTAGGAGGAAGGAACTCATCCAAAACTTTTTCTAAACACGCGAATATAACAAACGGGGCAAATCAAATTCCCTCTCCATGAAAACTTCAATGCTTCTTAATGTCTTCTAGCCTGAGGCCCCAATGAAAGAAAGCAATTCTGAAGAAGGGAGATGAAATTGAACACTCCATACTTTTTGTAGATGCGGACTTGATTCCTTCCCTGTGACCCATTGCATAAAACAGTCAACATCATGCAAATACACACACAAATGGACCATAGGATCAAGGAGAGGGTATGTCCATTTGCATAAGATTTCTTCAGTCTTTCTCTTCCCTGACCAATAAATACTTCATAATAGTTTATAATTATTATTGGCCGGAGAGAGCAACCAAATTATTGATTCTTCCCTTTTCCTAACAAACATTTCCATTCTTGGCTGTGAAGTTGTATAAAAATATGGTTGAAGTAGCAATTGACAGAAATTTATTCAAGGAATTCACATCTCTGGCATTTTTGTTACAAGGAATCACCATATATTTATTTAAGAACCCAATTTGAGTCCTCCCTAATCTTATTTTATTATATTGCACATTTGTTGATAGTCCTCGAAAGTGTCCCATTATTCAAAATCAAGAGCTATATGGTCCTTGATAGAGTAGAATAACAGAACAGGATTCGTGTACCCCAAATGCCTGAGATAAGGCTCATATGATGATATGATGAGGAGGAAAAGTCAGATACTCAGTCAAATCGAAGAAAACCCATCACTTAATGAAATCAATCATAAAATAAGAAAGAAAACCAAAAAATATCATGTAATTTAATTATGCATCTGCCAAATTGGGTAAAATCTAAGAAAAAGAAAATTACCTGAAATTCATGTTACGGACAAAAAGAATCATCTGATTGCTGTCCAGTCTGCAATTACGATGTGCCAGTAACACAGGTCACTTATTCATGAACCCATTAACCAACTTTAGCCTCACCATTAACTAAAGTAGCCTCATCTTTAGCCATGGCACTGGTTATGGTTTTACCGCCGCTCTTCGTTTGCTTCTCCTTGTTAACATTCACTCCATCTTTAGCAGCAACTAATTTCCTGATAAATTTCTCTGGAGTGCTAACTTTGGCTGGTTGGCTGGCTCTAGATGATGCTTCTTCCTTATTCTCCTCCTCTTTGGTTCCCTTCTCAGGAGAGGCATTTTGGGCCACCGAATATTCTTTTGAAGGGCTACTTGATTTTGGCTTAGCACTGGATTTATCAGGGCCTGGATCAGGAAGTAGTGCGCGACGGCTCAAACGCAGATGACCCTTTTCATTTATCTGAATGGGCACAAAATCACAGTTGTGAAATACACGTACCAGGGTGCCATTTATCTCAAATTGGCAGAATACCCCATCAGTAATTAGATGATTTTACGGAAGGGAATTTTATCAATTCACCTATGAGAGATGAACATTTTATCACCTTACATATATCTTTTGATTTAATTTCAAAATACCCATAAAAGAATACATGACCTTGAGTTAGAATAGTTGCAAATGGGTGGGTGGAATGTTAAATAGTTCATGTCTCACGGCTACTTTGATAAATTTCCTTATACAAAATTTTGCAAGTATTTCCTCTATTTCTTCGCTTGCATCTCCCTCTGCTAAAGTTATGCTACAATGAATTAACAAGTTTCATATAAAAATATAAACTGTCTATAAACATTAGAAGGAAATCATCAACTTTAGAAACTTAAATTTAGCCCTCTAGAGCAAATTTTTTCTTTTCTATTTCTTTTTTATTTCTCTTTTTTTCATTTTATTTTCACATGATCTTCTCAAACAATATTGAAGAAAACAAGAATTAAGAAAATCTCTGAAGAAATGACATTGTCAAAAGAATCCCAAAATGAGATTATCACCACCTATAATATTGGGTATCTCGGAATTTAATCTCAAACTAAGGGTACTTTTGTCATTTGTATGTTATGCTTACAAAGTGCCCACATCTAGGCCGTTCGAGTATTTTACGAAGTTTACAGGGTATCGTCTTCTCTTATCAATAGTTCCATTTGTATTGAGATAGAATGATCTTAGAACATTCAAAAACTCCATAAATTGTCTTACAACCTCAAATGGGTTAATTTCAAAGTAGAGAGAGATGCTATATTTTCTTGCTTTCCACATACATATCTTTTGTTATTTATAGGTGTTAAACATAATATTTCGGATTTAAAAAGCGGACCACCCAGCTCCTGGGCGGATAAATTAGTCGGATATCCCTTGGTGCCCGCCTAGGCGCCTAGGAACCCGTTTAGGCGCCCAGGGGCGGAAATGCCTCTCGTTGAGGCATTTTTTTATCATTTTTTTAATACTTAAAGGGCAAAACTGTGGGTTTTAGATTTATTTAAAACCTAAAACCCATTAGAGCCTATTTTAGAGAGAAAAAAACCCCACAATATTTTTTTTCTACCTGTCCGCCCACGTTCTGGGCTCTTGCCTAGGCACTGACGGCCTGGACCCCCCTGGCCGCCTAGCGCTTTTTGAAAGACTGATCTGGACTCCAAATTGAATAATCTACAACTAAAGATTTTCTTCTCAAAAAGTAAGTGAGATTGCAGAAAAGAATCATAAGGGGTTAGGACGATAATAAAGTGCAATACTCAATAAACCGGTAAACTAAGATATCCAACCTCAATGAGTTTGACATCCACACGATCTCCAACTTTGAAGATCTGCATAAGGAGCCACAGGGAGCAAATTACTTGGTGATTAGTTGAGTACTAAATTGAATGCTCTCTATAACTGATCATTCTGCCTGCAAAAATTACTTACATCCTCAGCATTTGGCAACCAACTTGAACTTAACTCACTGATATGACAGAGACCCTGAGGAAAGAAACTTTTAATCATTTATCAGAAAAGGAAAAGATAAAATAATGTCAACACAAACCAACACCAATTCACAAAGATAAACCTGAAATGAAACTCAAATTTCTAATGTCAGGCCACTCAGTTGTTATTCCTGTAATTATCTTTTATTTGTAAAGTGGGGCCCAACCATTAGTTGGCCCCAACAACTTACTGTTCCTTCAATTATTGAAAAGCTTCTTTGGTAAGTATGACAGATTTAAAAGTTAAATCTTCAATCTGATTGATTTTGTTTGAGAAAAACCTGAAGTGAGGCGTTGAAGTTGAAAGTCAAACCAAAAAATCAAGGGTCATTGCTCAACTACCAAAGTGATTAACTATTAGTAATATGGGATGCTCTAGTTACCAAAACAAATCAGGAAGCAGGAGTTCTTAACTAGCAGAAGCATCTAGGAAGTGGCACATCACTGGTCCAGATCACACAGGGTATAGCTACCAAATAGTTATGATGTACAGTAGGGAAGATTAAATGGATTTGTATCTTACTGAAAATCATAGGTTCAATGTACTACCGATTTTTCACAAGTGACAGGGGAACATTATATTCAATAAAATAACAGAAAATATGAGCAGTTAATCACATGAAAAAAAATGTGGCAAAGAAAAATGTAAGGGACCTGTTGGCTCTTAAATAGGCATGAAAGAATGAAAAGGGTACCTCTCTTCCGGGAGCTATCTCAACAAACACTCCGTAAGGTGCAATGGATTTGATTTCGCAGTTCCTGAAAGCATGCAAGCAAGGGCATCATGTCAAGTCTCTAGATGAAGTGACTGTTTTTTTATTCTTTTTTTTGGGAGGGAGGATGGGGGAACGGAAGGTAATGGTCAAGATAATAAGCGTATTAATAAAAAATGGAAATATCACAAAGCCCAAGCTTTTCTTAGTAGCCAACAAACAAATGTTTATGTATAATGGCTAGTATGACAAACCACATCATAAGTAATCCATCCAAAGCTTTTTATATCAGAACCCAGAACACGGGTGTGGTTAGAGGAGAAGTGTAGTGTACTCAGAAGAGCGTCCCACAACTTTTCAACTGCTTTGTGAAAGTATTTCCATTGCCATGATCAGAAAGTTTATCCAAAAGTAATATATGATTCAAAATTTAGATTGAGGCATGTGCTGCTACTTCCAAAAGAAAAATTTGAACCTGTAAACATCGCCCACAGTTGGAACCATTGTCAGATTTGTTATAATGGCTTTGGATTTTTCCAAGCTAGTCATGTCCTTTGCAGTAATTTTCACCTGCCAGAACCATAAAATAATAATAATAATCAGAAGAGACAAGAAATACTTGTAGAAGAAACTGATTTACATAGTTCAAGTGTAATTACCACGCCATCATCTTGCATATCAATAGCTTCTACTCCAGACTCTTCAATGATGCTCTTTACTTTCTTCCCACCGGAGCCAATGATAATATTTACCTTCTCGGGTTTAACCTACACATTACAAAAAGATTGTCTAACCTAAATATTTTATGGTAAGAGTCAAAGAGTATATACCTCCAGATCTTGTTTTATAATATCTTAAGCACAAATGAAGTGAACTGAGGAACATACCTTCATAACATGAATCAATGGAGCATACTTTGATAGTTTCTTTGATGGAGGAGGGGTACATTTCAGCATTTCAGCTGAAGAGGAAATAACAAGATGTCTCACTTCACCTTGGAATGGGGAAAAGTGCAACAAAACCATTATATAGTAGATAATACCAACACGGCTCATTTTTCAAGTAATCATCCATAGATTTCATGAATTTACAAATTATTAGGCATACAATGCGATAAACAGTATCTCAACCCTAGTTTGTTGGAAGCATATGCACCTATTGATATGCACACGAGAAAATAACAAAAAAAGAAAAGGAAAACTCTTTCAGAGGTTGCTGCTCAGCTTCTACTGTTTGAGCACCCTAAAAATCTGCCAGTGCTTAAGCATGAAATTCTTGTTTGAGGAAGTTTTTGAAGTAATTTAAGCAGAATAGCATTTACAATGGAATCATATACCATGAAAGCATAATACTAAATTTTGAAACACCGTAGGATATCCTAAAAGTACCAAGAATATGCGTCCGTCCTTCCTTGGCCTGTAAAAGTGCTTGTTTCATGACAGGTATCGTGATTCCTCCTACCTGTAATTTTTAGTAATCAAATAATCAATAATAAGGCAATTCACATCAGATAACACAAAGTATATTTCTAACTGTAATAACTAATATAAACTCTCATTCTCTACTTCTATTAATAAAATAACAAAGAAAGGACAACTCAAGTGGAAGCAGCTCAAGAAAACAAGGTTCTTTATATATATATATATAAAACCAAAGAAAATAATATCCAATTACCTTTATGTCCATCTGAAATGCTGTTATACCATCCTCAGTACCGGCAACCTATAGTATGATATACAAGTGAAATTCATGTAGTTCGGAAATCAGCCAGTGTATAAAAACGATGTATTTACACTATGCTCCAATGGATAAAGGAAAAATCATAGTCATTTGGTTCATCACTGTCCATAGGAAGGATAGACGGTGATGAAGAAGAGTGCAAACCACCAATGGGGTTATGTCCTGTTTAGATGCGTCCCACTCTCTCTGTTGCCATATTTCAATGGGAAGATGACTCAACGAACTATGGTTGCTCATCAGCAAGTTGGTTTGTAGCATAGTTTCCCTTAGATGTTTTACCATATAATTAACAATGGCCATAAAAAACGTACTAGGTCATCACCTTAAAGTCCATATCTCCAGAGGCATCTTCAGATCCGCTGATATCAGAAAGAATAAGTGGGGTACCATCTCCTCCAAATTCCTTTGTGTCGAAAACCATACCCATTGCTACCCCAGCAACTGGACACTTCACTGGAACACCAGCATCTAGTAAGGCTAAGCAACCTCCACAGACAGAAGCCATGCTGTGCATCATGCCATAGAAAGTTTGAAGTCAACAACAAAATGTCCCAGTTCTTAGACACTAAAATTTTGATTTAACACTGAGTAATGAACCTATATTACACATGAATCACGACTGTGAATTTGGCTAAAATTTTCACCTTGAAGAGCCATTGCTTTCCGTAATCGTACTCTCTACTCGTATAGTGTAGGGAAAATCTTCATCTGAAGGCAAAATAGGTTCAAGAGCTCTTTCTGCAAGCATTCCATGACCAATTTCCCTTCTACTTGGTGCTCCTATTCGTCCAACTTCTCCAACGCATGACGGTGGAAAGGAATACTGAACATTGTTACTCAGAGTGAGTGAATAATCTCAAGCTCATTAAATGGTACCAAGAATTAAGCATGCACATACTAGCACAAGTTTGCTTGACATAAACAGGAAGCCACAAACACTCATATTACAAATTACGAAAGATGCCATCTAATGAATTATTCTAGCAATAAGATACATTCTTAATATTGAGGCAAATCATTCTTTCTGTAAGTGATAGACATCGTACAAAAAGTTATGGTCTGCAAGGATAAGATACGCAGACTGAAACTCGAGCAATACCTTACATTAGGATAAAAGAACCTTAAGTAACTTGTCTATGATTTTACAAGATTTCATTGTCCTCAACAAATGTAGAATTACATAAAGGCCCCAACAGAATGTAGACAACATGAAGGGCAAGAATAGAGGAATAAACTACAGGGCAATCCCCATATATATTTAATAAGAACGAATTATTACACATGCAATACTTCTGCTGGCAATCCCAGCCTTTGACAGTACAAAAATATCGTCAATGATTAACCTAAAATATACCACTTTTTGGGTCAAGATAAAGAGTTTTAAAACCTCAGTTATGCCAAGCGCTTCCATGAATGCATTGCTATTTTCTTATCACTTTATCAATATACAGCCACGAAAACATAAAATCACCAGCAATTTCCACTCCTACCACATCTTGTGCTACTATGCCTTGTGCATAGTGAGAATGAACATGTCTTGAGAAAGGGACAATGGTCGAATATATGGTCGAATATGTAGGCAATGCACATAAACCTAGATACATATATTGTACATCATAAAAGAATTTGGTGTTGGAGAATTACTTGGCACTCAATAAAAGCAATCAATAAATTGGTGTAGAAAGTACATTATAGTTTTTACAGTGCAATGTCACCTGCAGATAGAAGTGCTTCAGTTCATCAACATCAATGAGGTTATCCAAGCGTTGAGCCATTTGCCTATCTCCAAGAGTGACAACTGCAAGTGACTGAATTTCAACAATGCTTGTCAATTAAGTTCGATAAAAAAGAAGGTGGTACAAATCAGCATAAGCAGAAGTATCAAACACTTTTGACATAAAGTAAATTATTAATTCTGAAACTTTATACTTCTCCACCTCTCACATGAAACAAGGTGAAAACTATGCAAGAAAAATTGATTAGAGGTTCTGCTGAATATGTGGGCTCTAGCATAACAGTGCTTAGAAGCTTAAATAAAGAGAAGGGAGAACCCTACATTTCCCATCTTCAGCATACAGATGACAACTAAATTATATCTGTAACTAGTAGAGAACTTGGATAAGCCATGGTTCACTCTAAAATGTACAAGGCAATTACAGGGCCAGGGATTACTTCATCTAAAATATGGGAAGCTAAATGTGAGATGAGGTGTGTCAATGCTGGTTGGAGGCTTGACCACCAGATCTTTATCTGCTCAAAATAATGAGCAGATAAGCGGGGAGATATAGCAGTAGAGCAGAGGAGAAGCCAAGATCCCATGAAATTGCAAGACCTCAAAACAAGGTGTTCTCAATGTTTTAGAACAATTACAACAGTTTATGAAGGAAATAATAAGAAAACTTACTTCACCTATTTCTTTCACCATAAATACAAAAGAATTCGTAAATTGACAAAATTCAGAAAGATGTACATAAACACCTGTGTTTCTCCTCGAGTAAAAAGGGCACTTCCATGTGCTCTTGGAAGTAGTCGACATCGTGAATGAATTGAGCGTAACTCAGATGGGGTCCGACCATCACTTCTTTTTCCCCCCTACCATTCATGAATAAACATTAGGAACAAATGAACAAACAGATAATTGTGATAACTAAATATATATGCATGAATCTATCAAATTGGCTAATGTCCAATAATAGAGAAGTAATAATAATAATAACAATAATAATAATAATAATAATAATAATGTCATTTGTTTGACAAACAAGTGAAAAATTCATGTCTCCCCATAGAAATGGTTCTGGCCAAAACTTGGACAACAAACATATTATACCAAATCAATACCTAATTTTCGAGGGCCATAAAGAAAGAAAATAAATGTTTCTCATTAACGGTTAGTTTTCTTATAAAGTAAATTAAACACAACAAGAGGAAGCCCCATTATTAACGAGATATCGAGGAGGCATCTCGAATAACCAAAAAGTCAGCCTCCACCTAGAAAGCATCTCATGCCACTGTCGAACTACATCAGCATCTATGTTGGCCTACATCATAACATGACAAAATGAGAGAGGTGCTGTCACTCACACTAGAGATCATTGCTGACCGCATTAGGAGAGTGGCCCCCCACCCCCACCCCCACCATGAAATGACATTGAGGATATTTCCCTCAACAATTATTGGATCCTCCACCTTGCGAGAGAATAGCCTCAAACTCACTAATAGGGAATCTACTTCCATGATTGAGTAGCCACACAAGCTTGGACTGGGGCTTGGGCTTGTTGATTACACTGTTGGCCTTGCAACAATACTTTCCATTTTCGAATCCTACCACCAAACCACCCAAAAAAAAAGGAAACGTGCAAACTTAAATATGATATGAGTTTCTATTTTTGTTTTTTTAATGTGTTAACATTTGTATTAAAGTAGTAAAAGATTACAAGAAGGAAGTAAAGTTATAGAGGCAGCCCACAGACAGGTGCCCTGTAGAAAAAAAAAAGTGTGCAAAAAAATGCTATGCAGAATGAGTTGCAAAGCCAAAACAAAACAAAAGTAGGGGTGAAAGGGGAAGGCGCGTGCTCAAAAAGGTGCTAAGGCGCTTTCCGGCATTGTGCTCAGGTTTACAGCAAACTGGAGGCCCCTTCCTCGACAAGAGTGTTGGCCTCAGAATTGGCTTCTCTCCAGGTGTGACTCCACAAAATTTGAGTCGAACTGCTAAGTTGTGAAATCTCATCAAAAACACCATCAAGTCTCCAGGGCCATGGTGTCCTACACGAGGCCTAAACCAGCACACTCTTGGAATCACCTTCCACGATAAGGGTATGGCCCCAAGATGGATCAAAATTCCTGAGGCCTTCCTAGAGTGCTTGGGCTCCCACAATGGTGGAGTCAGAAAACAATAGGAAGGGAAAAGGAGAGCAGGATGACTCCGTATTTTGTCTCGAAACAACCCCTTGATGCCTGCAGGCCCTGGATTTCCCAAGGAGCAGCCATCAAAGTTAAGCTTAATATGGCCGGTGTCTGGGGGTCTCCACATGGAAGCCCGAGAGATTCTAAGCGATCTCAGGTTCAGCAAAGTGGGCCAATTAAGATGGAAATCAGAGAGGTATAAGTGGCTAAAGTGTTTGTTGTGAGTGGCCCAAAAGATGACGCGGGATTTGGCCTCCTCAATCATGGCTACTGGGGGACCTTTGGCTACGGAATATTATGTTGTTTCGTTCATGCCAAATGACCCAGAAGGTTGCAGCCACAGAGGATCTCCACACGATGATACCCGCATTGGCCCAGAGAGGGGAGAAGTGTGAGCAAAAAAGATGTGGAAATGTGGGTGGGGTCACCCACTACCAATGAAACGTTGAAGGAGGTCAGCCCAAAGGGCGGAGGCCAGCTTGCAATGGAGAAAGCGATGGGAATTGGTCTCCTCTTCCTCGAAGCACATAATACAGTAGTTAGGAATCTGCATTCCCCTCCTCTGAAGGAGGTCGACTTTGAGAGCTCTCTCAAAAGCTAGGATCCAATTGAGGACCTGCATTTTGGAGGAACGAAGTGGAGCCAAGCTCTAGTCGTGATGGACAGACCTGGATTGGGGATCTGAGACTGTGGGAGGGAGAGGTAAAAGGACACAACCCAAAAGAATCTCGAAGAGGTAGGAGTCCAAATGAGTTTGTCAGGGCCCCAAAAAGGGAGAAAGAGAGAGTGCAAGGTGGAGGAAAGGTTGAGGAACTGCTGCATTTCGTGGTCCACCAGTGGCCTTATAAATCGGATTCCAGGTTCTCCTATTGCGCCTGATTTCCATCAGGGACTTCACCGTGGCATACGGGCTCCTAGCAAGCAGAAACAAGCTAGGATATTGTTCCTTTAAAGGCACAGGAGGGTTTTGTTCCCACTACAAGATCGTATTATGACTTTCGATTTGCAGGGTTTTTTTTTTTTTGAGAAAGGTTAACATGGATTTGCAGAGATAGTAGGAGCAAAGAAGTGATTTCAAGACCCCGGAGGAGTTACTGTGAGCTCTGAGCTCCGGGACCCAGGACAAATCTGAAGAGCGGTATTTGGAGTTGATGACATCCTGCCATAAGTGGTGAAATTTCTTGCTTCCATCTCCCGATAAAAGGAAATTTCTCCTAAGTTGTTCAAGGCGACGCACCACAGATGCTGGCATGTGGATAAGAGACATTTGATATATCGCAATGTTTGAGGATGTGGCTTTGATGAGAGTTATGCCTGAGGATAGGAATCTACCCTTCCAGCCCACAACCCACGATTGAACTTATCTATAATACGACTCCAGAGGTTGAGCTAGAGTTTGCCAAGGCAGAGAGGTAAGCCCAAATACGAAGCGGGGAGGTCTTCAACAATGCAGCCCCACCAAGATGCAAAAGTTCTTACAACTGATGGATTCACGGCCACCCCTAACATTTTGGTTTTGGCCATGTTGACCCTAAGGCCAGTTGCCATTTCAAAGCATTTCAAGAAAATGAGAAGGTAGCCCAACTATTGGGGGGAGGCATCACAAAAAAGAAAGGCTTCGTCGGCATATTGAAGGTGGCTGATAATGGGGCCGGAGTGGCTCACCTTGAATCCTTTGAGGAGTTCAGCCTGGCACATCCGAAAGATGGACCTACTGAAAACCTCACCATGGCAAACAAGAAAGGGAAGAGGGGGGCTCCTTGGCGGAGTCCCCGAGAGGAAGGGAAGAATCCCCTAGGAGAGACATTGATAAGGATTGAGAAGAATGGGCTCGACACAAAACCCTTCATCGAAGTCCTCCACCGTGCCCCGAAGCCCATACAGCTGAGAGTCCTTTCGAGGATGCCCCAATCAATGTGATCGTAGGCTTTCTCCCAGTCCACCTTGATGACGATCCCTGGGGTTTTAAAAAGGTTTCTTGAATGAATGGCCTCATGGGCAACCAAAGCACCATCTAGGATTTGCCTATCCTTAACAAATGCACCCTCTGTTGGAGAAATGACCCATCCTAGAACCTCCTGGAATCTGGAGGAAAGAACTTCGGAAAGGATTTTGTACGAACTATTGATGAGGCTGATGGGCCTAAAATCTTTGAGTTCCTCTGCCCCTTCGATTTTAGGAATCAAAGCGATAAAATTTGCCTTCATGGCCCTATGGATGACCCCTCTGTTATGAAATTTGTGGAGAAGGCCATAATATCAAGCTTAACAGAGTCCCAAAAGAGGATTTAAATAGGACAATCAGGAAACTGTCTGGCCCCGGGCCTGATCATGGCCAAGCTCAGAGATATCCTCGAGGATTTCAGCTTCCTCGAATGGACGTTCAAGCCATACTGCTGATTGTAGGGGAATGGTTAGGAAAGACAAATCTGCCACCCTCATCCTGGGCACAGATGGGGATCGGAAAAGGTTATGGAAATGATCAAGGATCACGTTTTCTATCCGAGGGGGTTGGTCTTGAACTTGATTCCCAATCTTAATATGGGTTATAGTGTTGTCTCAACTTCTGCAATTGGCGATTTTATGGGAAAAAGTAGCATTCTGATCTCTGTGGTTGAGCCACTTGACACGGGGCCGTTGAGCCCAGTAGAATTCCTCCTTCCAGATGAGAGATTTTGGAAGTCTAGTTTGCTTGTGATCGAGCTGCCTTTTCTGCAGTGAAGAAGTGCTCTTCAGTGGAATCCCACTGCTGGATGGTGAAGAGGATGGCCTCTTTTTGGGTGCGGAAGCTGCCTGGCAGTTGGGAACTCCAGGTTCTAAGTGCCCCTTTAAGAAGTTGGAGTTTTCTTTGAAAGCAGAAACCCGCCCAGCCCTGGACTTGACTGGAAAATGAGGACCACCAATCTTGAATGAGACTGGGGAGATCGTGTTCCTCCATCCAGGCCATTTCAAATCTAAAGGGCTTTGAGACCCGAGCAACTGGGGAAGTGTCGAACAAAATGGGGCAGTGGCTAACACCAAAAGTCAGGTTGGCAAGTTCTCTCTTGCCTTTAGAGGATGTTTTGCATAGCCGTTCAGTAGCCGTGGAGATGAAGGCTTCTACGACCTATCGGGGGCCATCAAGTTGGAAACCTATAACCTTCATTACTCGGTTGACATCGCCTTGTGCTGCATCCAGATGTTCCACGAAGCTCGAGGTTGTGGAGATAAGGGAGCAATGAGAGCGGCTGTCTACTGTTGTAAGGTCCCAGCAAGGGAAGAGGGGAGCATGCCAGGGGCCAGAGGCGAGGTTACTGCTGGGATGGTAGAAGAAGACGATGCAGGGAAAACAGGGAGTTGGTGGGTTGATGCTGGGGTTGGAATGCCATTGCAGAAGGGAAGTGAGTCACCAGTGACAGTGGGGGCTAAATAGGGGTTAAGACCGGGGGGGGGGGAGGGGGGGGGGGGGGATGGAGAGATAGCAAGGGGAACCAGCTAAGGGAAGTGGATCAGAGGGAGAGAAGTGCAGTCCCATTAGGGAGGGAAATGGAGGCCGAGGGAGGGAGGCGGGAACAGGGAGCAGTTCACTAGGGTAAGGAGGAAAGGACGAAGGAGAGTGGCTGTAATGGTGAGATCTAAACACATAGGAGGCAGCATGGGGGAAGGAGAGGCGTTGGGAGGGGGAATAGGGAGAGAAGAGGGGAAGGGGGAGGAGAGATCAATCAGAGGGGGGAGTGCGGATGACATTGCCGTTCAAGATGCATATATGGAGTTGGATCCGAAGTCGCCGGGCACTGAGAGGGGTGGAGCTAACTCCACGAGGACTCCATTGCAAGAAGTGACAGCAGGTGTGGGTAAAAGGGGACTGAGATGCCCGGGAGAGCAGTGGAAGTTGAAGAGGCAGCTGCTGCCAAGGAGTGCATCCCCTGGGTACTGGGCTACCGAGACGACGAGGAACCATCCTTCAGGGTGGTAGGCGAGGGTTGAAGGTTGGCGTGAAGGCCTGGAGAGGAAAGGGGTTGCGTCGGTGAAGAGGGAAGAGGGGGTCTAGTAGAGAAGGAGGTGGAAGCTTCGAGCTGGTGGGAGCGAAGAGAAGGGGAGAGATGGTCGAGGACAAAGAAGCATGGGGAGGAAGACGGGAAATGGTGGCTCGAATCTCGGGGTCCAGGGGGCAGTTCGAACAGTCGGGATTGAAGTCCTGTTAGGACATGCGAGGGGTAAACTGTCACCCTGCTTCAATCCAGCTGCAGAAGGAGCCAGGATGGAGAATGTCACATGGGAGGGGGGTTGCGATAGGGCGACGAGGTCAGCACTTGGCAGGGTGTGGGAGAGGGTCTGCACTGGATTGCCACAGAATGGAAGGTGTGGAAGGGCAGGATGCAGCTGGCGGCATATTTAAATTTGAATACTGAAGTGGGACCACATGGGTGGGTGAAGCTAGTTGGGCCACATCGTTGCCAAGGGAAAAAGGTGTCACAAGGGGCGACAGGTGAGGCAAAGGCTTGTTGGTCACGACATCAGCGTACGTGGCGGGAGTGGGGGGGACTACACAAAGGTGGTTGAAACTTTGCCCTCCACTGCGGATGCTTCTGGGACTTACGATTCCAAAGTCTACTGCTGTGATGGGCCTGTTTATGTCAACGATGAACAACCGTAGTCCACCCTTCCTGATCATGGTGACCAAGGTAGTTTGGAGCCCGGTCTTTGAGTGGTCCAGTGTGGTGAAACTGGAAGTGGCGGTTGGAAGGGGGGGAAGCAGGCTTCCCAGAAATGGGAATTAGGAAATGGCGACCATCGATTTCTATCCAAAGGGAAAAGGGAGTTTGATAGGGGTTCAAGGTTTCAATGAGAAGAAGGATGGAACCCACGCGGAGAGACTCAATGGATTTCCAGTGAATAGAGATGAGACCCCCACAAGCCTTGCTGACAATTTTGAAAGTGGAAGGGTGCCAAGCATGCAAAGGAATGTGAGAAGCTTTAAGCCATAGCTTTTGGGATCTAAAGGCACCATAGTCTGTGCTCCAACGGGATAGCGAGAGTGTGGCTCCTTTGAATTGGGGGTCTGACCATTGCAATGCCCTGATAGAACTCTCCAAGGAAGGGAAAAGAGAAGAGGATGTCACCGCTAAAGAGTTTGTGGCAACCAAGATTGGGTTCTTTCCACAGATCCTAACCACACTTTTCAATTCCATGGAAATCATCTCTTTGGGGAGTAAAGCACCCGAGAAGGAATTTTGGAGAGACAAGAGTCTGGGCAGCGACATGCAGACCATGGATGGCAATGAGGTTGGGAGCATAGCTGTGGCCAAAGGGAGGTTGAAGAGAGGGGGAAAGGGGGGAAGAGGAAAGGGAAGGGTGAGCAGTGGGAGGAGCGGCCAAGGGATAGGAGTGGGCAGAGGAAGATACGGCAAGGCGGTGGGGTAGAGCTGGGGGATGACAAAAGTCAGGCGTACCAGAGGAATGGGACGAAGGGAAGTAGATCTACAGTGTATCAAGTGTGAGTAATGGTGATAGAGGGGAGGGAGACCCAGACAGGGCCCTGGCTGGGGCTGGCATTAGAGATGACCTTCACACATAGGGAGCCATGTTCACGCAGAGAGAAATGTTACCGTTACAGGTGAAGGTTGCAGGTTCTAATCCAATGGATACCAAGAGAGAGAGAAAAGTATAACTGTGATAGACTAACATAGAGAAGGCCTATGATGTCAATCAATATGATACGACTTTCCATTCTCGGCATTCCTCAAAAGGCCCCCAATCCCATATGGCCCTGGATGGCCAGGTAAGGAAAAGATAGAATGTAACATGATATAGGCCATTCTAAGCCATTGTTTTTAAAATTGATAAATAACATGAAACGATAGAAAACATTAAAGACACACAAGGACATATAAGCACTGGCAAAACAGAAATTTTGGGCCTCCAAGCAAAGTCTCATTTCATTAAGAACAATGCAATACATTTACAAATCAGGTAAAATACTACCTAAGTTCATTTGAAAAGCACAGATTAAATGTGGTTCCTGGAACTAAAAAAAACCACAGCTTAGGATGAAATTTTACATTGATGCAAAATGACCATACATGACACTAATGTAAGTCAATTTTTGTCCAACATTAGGCTCTACTATTTTCTTTCTGAGATGCTTCCTCATCGGTTTTAGTTTCCTATTTCAATCCCTTCTTTGGGACTTCGTACTCCTTATTTTCTTACGAATAACTTAACTACCTACCTCACGAAAGAATGCATATTGCATGCTCCAATGGGATCTCATACATCTACCCCCTTGGGGAAAATACCTCTACCCCCTTGGGGAAAATACCTACTCGGGACGAACTTTGTATCCACTTCAGAATCACCATATAACTAGTTTCATAAATTAAAGTTGGATTTTGAGTTCCTAAACTCTTGAATCCGACTACCCAAAAGTGGACAATCTTTGTCAAATCTTAGGATGTCAGTTTTTTAAGGAATATTTAAAAGGCATGTGAGTTTCTTTTCTTTGAAGCTGGTCACTAGTTTGTGGAGACTACATCCCCAACATTTGGGGTCCTAGAAATACTTCCAAGTAGGGTTTTACCAAAGGGAATGAATCCAGAATATGCTCCTGCAGAACCATATATTCTTTGGGCACAACTGATAACTCATTATCTTACTGATAACATAACCACCTCAAGAAAAATGTAAAGGTAGGTCCTATCACCAAATTTTCTGTTGACAAGTACAAAGCTCTAGCTAATGATAAGGCAAGCATATGAAATATCATGACCACGATAAAAAGTGTAACTGGAAACAAAATCCATGGATGAAAGCATCCAATATACCCGATTCCATAGCAGGAAGCCATCAGCCAACAATCTACTATACCATCTATAGAGATGCCAAGAGTACATAACAAGATATAACAACCAAAAAGTTTAAAAACAAAGAAAATATGTAAAAAGAAAAAAGAAAAAAAAAACAAGAAGAAAAGGGGAGAAGATCAATTTCAAATTTCAAAAGAGTGAAACTCATTAATTTTTTCTTTTTTTTTTTATTGTCAATGAAGAAAAAAGATAATCCCATCTAAGCACATATTTGCAGGTACTAGTTAGGAGGAGTGGAACAAGGCAATATTGAAGAAACAGTAACAACACATGTATTTTAAATGGTTAGAGAATCTAATCATGTACCTCAACAATCCGTCTGCGTAAAAACTTTGAGGTAACCTCTTTGAAAACCAGCTTCACGTCCACTTCAGAGAACAACTACGAGATAGTGAAGGAGATGCACAACTATTATTACAAAAGAAAAGTTGAAATGATAAAATAGAGAAACAATATTATAGAAGAGCACAAAATTATGCATGTGACGCTAAATGAGCTACACCATGTATCATTAAGCAAGCAGAAAAGGTTCTGACAAGAGAAGTTCCCCTTACCAAGGTGACAGGTTTTCGAGAAACTGGTTTTATATGAAAATCACCTTCATCCACTTCACCATCCACAATGACCACCTCATCCTCATCTTCATCCTCATCAATCTCAGGTATAACTTCACTGACAACTGAAGTACCTTCTTTCACAAGAAGTCCTTTTTCTGCAAGCACAGTCAAAACACTCTCTTCCAGTGCAGAAAGAGCCTTGATTCTTGGAATTTTTCTGTTGATTTGTAACACTTTTACCAGTTCATTACCAGCAATTTCCTGTATCGTACGAAAAACAGAATTACTAGAACGCAAACGATGGACAAAGTATGATATTCACATCCTAGGCCCATTTAGTAAAATGATTTAAAGGCTACCAAAAAAGATATCTAAGGTGGCTAATTTGAGTGCAAGTGTGCAATATGAGAATTTTTCATTAGTCAATAACTCTACAGTATGTGTATTCTCAACGAAAATTTATTGATATTAAAAAAAAATGGAATATCAGCAATCTGCAACCAAAAAAAAAAGCTTAAAAATAGATCTACAAGACAATCTTCAAACTGGAAAAAAAGGGAGTAATCTGACACAAGATAGAAGGAAACCAAATAAAGAACATCAATATGCATTCTACAAGAAGTCAGGGAGAAATTTTTTACTAGTGAGATTGGTACTCATTTTTTGGGCTCGTCAAGTGGTGGTATAGGAATCCTTGATGTTATGTTGAGGTTTTACCACCCAAACCACTGAGCCAAGAGGCCCGCTTCAAAGTGAGACTAGAAAGAGATGATGCCTAGAATGGAATTATTTACAAGTTCAAAATGTTAGCCCCAGTGAAGAGGAGAGCCATCACACCATAATTGTGGGAAACGTCCATACAGAAATTATACTACCTAGGAAGTTACCAGTTGGATGCTTTGCTTGTCCTATTGTGACAACCAATGACTGAAACTTTGGCTGCCTTGCCGCCCAGGCGGCCTGACCAACAAACTACCTAGGCATAGCCTAGGCGGTGGGGTCTGTGCAAGCATGCCTAAGGTGGGTGCCAGACTGGTGCCATCCCTAAAAAAAAACGAGAGAGAAGAAAGAAATTCAATTCCACCCAAACAAAAATAAGGTATGGTATTGCCCCTCTCTCTCTATTTCTCTCTCTCTCTCATCCATGTGCTCTCTCTACATATGAGAAGAAGAAGATGGACTCCAAGTGTTCAATGTGCGACCTCTCTCAATCACACACACACACACACACAAAGATACACATAGACCCATATGCTCCCTCTTTACATGTAAGAAGAAGATGACCTCCAAGTGCTCGATACGAGGTGCCTCTCTCACAAACTCTCTCTCTCTCTCTCTCTCTCTCTCTCTCTCTCTGAACATATCCTCCAAGTGTTCGAGACCTCTCTCTCACAAATACAGATCCAAAAGAAAAAAAAAAAAGAGGATGATTGTTAAGAATTTCATGTGAGACCTCATGCACACATATATGTGTGCACGCACATACGCACACTAAACACATACAGACACACATTCACAAAACACACATACACAAAACAACATATGACCCCCACCCCAACCTCCATCCCTTAGGGCCGCCTAACTATCTGGGCCCCCGCCTAGGCGGCCACATCCGCCTCCTTGAACATTGGTGACAAGTGACAACAGACTCCTTTATGCTTAAGTTTCATTCATAAACATTTTGAGCTCTGAGTTCACTAATCTCTCATTCCATAAATAGGGGTGCTTTACTTTATAATTCCTTGCCAGGATGTGTCACCCATCTAATTCTAGCAAATAACAGTACGCTTGGTTTTCACAAATGGAATGCATATGTAATACTTTGGCAAGAACAGGTGATCTCCTTGGTTAAGATTATCATATCTATTATTACTATTTATAGGTATCCAAGTCATCAGTATTGACTGTTTTTTGAAGGTTTCAAGCAAAACTTTAAAGTGATCCATGGACATTAACTGTTCCAATTCTAGTTTGTGTACTTTCAGTAATTCTGTTTATGATTTCCATTTGTGATCCATGGATATTAATATAATAGTTGCATATGACAGACTTGTACTATCAAAAGAAAATGGTCGTGAGAATCAACAGACATAATACCATGTGCTTCAAAAGGAACATCATGTCCAGAGACATAAGGGAGACTTTACAGACTTGTATCATTTTTCAATACCCTCCTCTATAGGTGTTGCCATTCACAAGAGTTCTAAGTTTTGCGTTTCTGTTTAAAATGCTATTCTTGCATCCCACAGTCAAAAAAAAAAGCAAAGATCAGAATCACAATAAAATTTAGAGCAAAAGCAGCAGAGAGAATATTAAGCATTCCATTTCAATATGGACTGTTTGAACAACTGAAACTCCAGGAACACATTATTAAGAATAAAGAAAAGGTGCAGGAACAAATATTTGCATACACATTGGGAGGAATGTTGTACACCATACTTCTACATTCTTATACAGCTCCGGAGGAGGTAATTTAATTGCTTCAAGCATCTTAGGATTTCCACACTCCTTAACCAGCGCCTCCACCTCCTTGCACATTGCTCGCACTGCCTCCTGGTGTCAAAATACAGGTAAGACACTAACACAGATTGCCAACAACAGGCAACCTCACAAGATGCATCATTCAACTGCAAGTTAATATTAAAGTGTATCACGACCATGGGCAAAATAATTATCACGGCAACTTTTGGAGGGAAAAAATGAGTATACCCAAAAGATCGGCTGCATACACAAATACCAAAGTCATGAATGCCCAAGTAGAATAAACATAGTCAATGTCGAGGACTAAAAAGATAAATAATGTGATTCAAGATGCCTGTCGATCCAGGTTGATGATATAGCATGAGGAACACCACAAACAGGTTATGGGGAGTCACGTGTTTAAGAATGATGAAAGGAAGTTTCCTTTGCTACTCATGATGAAATAATTTATTCCACTAGGTATATTGAATCGGTTGCCTTCACTGGTGACCGCAGATTGGCGCACATTAGCCACCCCATGTAACCTTTCAAAGGTTTCAAAAAACGCTAGGCCCCGAGGCGGCCTGCCTGGCACCTAGGCGGGGGCCCAAAACCTCGTGTAGTTTTTTTCACTTCGGGTTTTCATATATTGAGGGGTTTTTTTTTTTTTTTTGACTTTGGGGATTAAAAATAAACCCCATAACGTTTTGTACAACCTTGGAGGTCAAAATGACCCCCTTTGCCCTTTTGGGCGATTAAAAAAAAAGAGAAAGGCCTTACGGCCTTAGTCGCCCGCCTAGGCACCCGCCTAGGTACATCTGCCCGTGTAGGACCTCCTGGGTCTAGGCATGTGGATTTTTGGTCCAAGCCGATTAGGCGCTAGGCGGACCATTTTTTAAGACATTGGACCTTTTTCTAATAGACAATGATACTTTCATCTGTGAGGGGTTCATTAGAAGGGTTGACTATGACATATTGCATATTCACTCGAGAAAATCCTGATTTAGCAAGGAAAAACTCCTCTAGGGTCTCCGTGGAGATGAAAATTGAACAGGCGGCTATCATTTTGTGCAATTGAATTGCAAAGATAACGTCTTAACTCAACTAGGCAACTACGTGGGGTCCTTCCCATCTTTGGGAGACTGATTGACAATTGTACAGGAGAATCATTGCAAGTATGACAAATAATGAAAATTAACTCTTCATACATAATCATCTCAAGAATCATTTTTCCAAGTACACCATTTCTATAAAGGCTAGGTCAATAAAGTGGTCATAAAAATTGATAAAAGTTCAAAAAAAAGTCCAAAATAAAATCTTATATTTTATGTACACTTATAACCCCATAAATTTAGTTTCTTCATTTCTTATGTGCATAAAAGGCACAAAAATGAAAAAATGGCCCACCCAGTATTTGTTCCAGAAATTTACATGCGACATCTAAAATTACCAATTACGTGATGCAGGTGTGAACAACGACCGATGACTATTAGAAAGGGACATGTGAACACTGTGGTCATTCATATGTCATCCTTACATGCATCAGTGCGTGTCAGCCAGTGTTTACCTATTTATGAATCAGTGTACTGGAAAACAAAATCAACGCCTTATGATGTAAGATTAACCTCCCAAGGTCCACAGAAAATAGGATACATAAATACATATGGAATCACCAGACATAAGTTAGTTTTTCAGGTCAAAGTTATAGAAGAAATAGCAGCAATGGTCTAGATCTATGACTACAACTTTTATAAAAGAAGTATTGATGCATTTTTTCAGTTTGAAAAAGGCAAATTTTTGCAATAATGGTTTTACTCTTGGTCAAGAGGAGAAGCCAGATAATGCTGGACAAGCACCATGGTTGCCGTTGTAAAGTATCAAGAGACTAGACAAGGATCTATCCAAAAATAGGTAAAAAGAGAAAACAGCTGCACAAGTACCTTCCTAGGACCAGCTGAAAAAAACTTGAAGCAAAAATAACCATGACTTCTCTCATGTCACAAACAAGTAAAGACGAGAACTCGCTTTGAGGTAATTTTGTAGCAATATTTAGGTTGAGGTATCGCACCTGTCCAATCTCCACAGCTTTCAATAACTTGTCCTCCGACAGAAAATTGCAGTAACCCTGTAATAATTTTCCCTCTGTAAGCATGTCTAATGAACATAAACATCTTACGGTATTTTAATTCAAAATTAGAACAACAAAAATCCATTTTATGTTAGTTGCTTATCTTAAACTAGATGATTCCATCCCAAATTTAACCCCCTACCTATCTTCAAGCAAAATTTTCAATGCTCAGAATATATGAAACTTCATGATATTAATTGAGAACTTACCTCTATCATCAATATGGCGTCTTCAGTCCCAGCAAGCACCAAATCTAACTCAGATTCCTCCATTTGTTTTGTGGTTGGATTGACAATATACTGATCACTGATAAGGCCAACTCTGACTCCTGTGACTGCTTTGGAATTAGGTACTTCTGACAGAGCTCTGCAAAATTTCATGCCGCAACATTATAGCAGTAGAAGCCACTCTGTTCAAGTACAGGATTAACAAAATCATAAATGATAAGCCTATGATATGGAAACTCAGGTTGGCTTAACACTAGCTTTAAAGGAACCTACACAGCAATTCCAGCTGCAGTGATCGCGAGGGCATCAGGAGAGTGCAAACCGTCGTAACTCAAAACCTAAATTTTCAAAGACAGAGAAAAAGTAGATAAGGTATTATATATTAAAAGAACATTTCAAAGAAAACAAACCCTAATGGGAATGGAGTTGAGGTCGTGGCGGTAACACCACCTGAGCCTCAGCTCCTGATCTAGGCTTCCATTCCCTCTAACCCATTCAAAAACCACTAACTATTCCTAAAACAGCTAGGGGCCTGTATTACCCAATCTACCCCAAAAAAACAAAAGAAAAGAGAATAACACTAACAAGTCCTAAATAGGCTGATAAGATGAAGTTGCAACCACAAGCACCAATGAAAACAAAGGCCAGGTTCATACTTGAAATTATTGCTCATTAATTAGAGAAAAGTGGCCTACCGAAGATGATGATTACACGTGCGTGTACGGATGGATACTTCTAATATAATCTGAAATTCAACTGTTGATTTGCTCAGAGCTTAAGTTATGGTGAGAAAGAGGACGATCCGTAGAGGGAACGGACGGGGGAGCAGACAATATGTTCAGAAGGATTCATGTAGGGTTTGAGTTGTTGTGAATCAGGGGGGAGCATTACCTTGCTGGCACAGGACTCTCAGGCCAAGCTTGAGACTAGAAAACGCAAAAACAATGAACAAGGTACAGATATGCATGGAACCTTTTATAGCTACAACAGATGAAAAAATAACTACTCCAAAAGAGCAGAATTTAGATACCAAAAATGAACTCCAGATGAGAAAAAGATACTGCTCATACCCATGATAGGATTTGTGTTTCATGGTAGAAGCCCTTCAACATCGTTGGTCGCAATGGCCTATCTATCAATCTACAAATCAGAAGCTACCATAATAAGAGAATACAGTTAGAAAACACTTGAAATTATGTCAAGTGACTGATATGAGGTATAATATGCAGGAGAGCAAGACAAAGAAAGTTTAAGTACAAACCAAATAAAAAGATAAGGCTTTTCTAAAGATTTAATATTTAACAACCAAGGACAAGTGCATAACAAGAATAATGGCAAATATATCAAAACATTGAATAACAATAAACTGTGCATGTAAAAGTAAAAAAGAAACCATGATAGCAAGGAAAAAAAAAGAAGTATGACTCAAAATAAACAAACAAAAAAAAGGAATGAAACTCCACATTACCTCATACAATACACACTCACACACACACACACACACACACAGAGACAGAGAGAGAGAGAGAGAGAGAAAGAGAGAGAAGAGAGAGAGAGAGAGAAGAACG